GGGCTGCCCTGGAGCTGAGCCGCTGCTCCGGTGGGTGTCCTGCCTGTGGGCTGAGTTTCGGTAAATATGGCACAGGCAGATTTCAGAAGCTGCTCCTGAGCAAACACAGCCTTAACCATAAATCTGAGTGCGTGAACTCGGCCATCAGTAATTCGCAACACTTCATTCCACCGGGGGGGATAAATCTGATCTATATTGTCTTTTCGCCCTGGAGCTGAGCCGCTGCTCCGGTGGGTGTCCTGCCTGTGGGCTGAGTTTCGGTAAATATGGCACAGGCAGATTTCAGAAGCTGCTCCTGAGCAAACACAGCCTTAACCATAAATCTGAGTGCGTGAACTCGGCCATCAGTAATTCGCAACACTTCATTCCACCGGGGGGGATAAATCTGATCTATATTGTCTTTTCTAGACTGATACAGTTTCCCTGGAGTCACAGAAAATACCTGGAGCCAAACCATACCAAACAGAAAAATGGGAGTGCTACCACGTGGGGAACCTGTGGTTCTTTTACAAGGTAGTGGAGGTCTCAAACCTAAAACTGCTCTGAGAAAGAGCAAGTCAAAGCAAAGATGCTTCTTGATGAGAATATTAATTAATATTAATTAATATTATGCCCAGCATCCCCCGTGGGCGGGGGACCAGCAGCAATACGGCCGCGGTGCCGTTCCTAGCACAGCACACTGGTTGTCAGAGCTCTGCTGCTCTGAATGACTCCGGGGCCTCCAAGGGCACCCCATGGGGTGCCAATAAATCCAGCTGCTGTGACAGCCTGATCCGCTCCCGAGTGCCCCTGGCAGGCAGGTCGCGGCTGCAGGAAGGATGGCATGGAGGGTGCAGTGCAGCAGGGTGGGTGGTGCCCTCCTTTGTGGGGCTGAGGGGTGGGCCCAGGGGGGCTTTGGGAGCACCTGTCCTCCCCCCAGACCTCTGAGGGTGCCCTTGGGATACTGGAGTCTTTTCTGGTCCCTGCCAGGTCATTGCAAGTTACTGCCAAGTCCAGAAAAGAGGGCTGGGGGGTGGTTAATGTCTCTGTAATGGTGGTGAGTGTCAGATGCCTTGTGAAAAAGGAGTGCTGGGGGTTCAACCAGCCCGACACAAGGTTGAGAGAGCAGATTCCTGGCCAAGAAAAAAGCCCTTTCCAGTCCTCAAAGACCACTTAAGCTCAGGAACAATAGTGGAATCTGTGATTTTTGCCATCGGATGTTACTTGCATTGATGAGACAGATCCTGGCCTCAAAGCAAATACTTACAGTGTTACTTCTGAACTGTTTCACTTGTATTTTATACCACTGATCTCAACAAAATTACCTGGGATTTTTGCTTCCGTCAGATGCCTCAGACTCGCCCTCGAAGGTGAGCAGAGTGGGATGATGCTTTGCAAGCTTCAGCGGGTCGGTAGGAGAAGCAGCGAGCCCCTCCGAGCCTCGCTGTCATGGCTCAGCTTTTTGGAACAATTGATATAAAACAGAAAATGAGGACAGGGACTTTCCTCACCTGCTCTGCTCAGATCGGGACCAGCAGTGCAAACCAGGGCCCTTCAGCACGTCCTGGGGATCACCGACATCTCAGTGTTTCCTGCAAGTTTGTTTTCAGGTGGGATCCCAATCCTATTTGGGGTCAGAGGGGCTGAAACTCTAGCCAGGAAAGCTAGTTTCAAGTAAATAGAACTATTCAAAGTCACTTTTAAGCATGCACGAGAGCTTGGCATCCCAGCCAAAGCCTTCTGAGGTTGGGTTCCCGTTCCTCTGCCCACTTATGACTTACTCTGGCATTCCCTTCCCTATATTGAACACCTGAGTATCCTTTATCCTTTGAATTAAACCAAATCTGGGGTACGTGGCTGTTCCGCAGCGGGAGCGCAGCGACTGGATTCTTTGTGGCTAATGCTTTTCCTGGCCCTCGGACGACACGGCTGCGTCCGAGGACAACAGCCCTGTCCGAGGCAGCCCGGTAAGTGCTTGGCACTGAACACCGGCGGGCATCGGACATGGAAAGGTCCCTGTTGTGATTGGAAATGGGCCACGAGCAGGAAGGTCGGAGAAACAGACCTGAACGTGGGTCCATCACCTCCCCCTGTTGAAATGATGATGGGAAAAAGCCACGTGCCCGGGTGTGATCGGCTTCTCCGGTCGGTACCTGTAACTTTCCAAGTGCCCAGAGGACTCTCTCCACCCCACCAGCCGCTGCCCCGGGTCTGGTGGCCGCCCATCCTCCCGGGCACCTGTTTGAATGAAACAGGGACTCCTGGAAGAGTAAACAAATGATCAATCCCCCCGTGGCAGGTCAAGCCCAACCCTGCTGCATCTCGTCGTGAGAACACCGTGCCTGTTGGGCCCTTTCCTGTGCCCCTTCAGCCTAAAACGCTCCCTAGCGGGGCGGTGGTAGGTCTTTGCCTTCGTCCTGCAGGAAGGTGAAGCGATGAGCCCTCGTGAGGGATGTGGCTTCGGAGTTACCTTCTATGTGCAGAAGCCCCCGAGGAAGGTCGTCGTCTGTCGCGACGGCGCTGCCGCGTGCCCGGGATGAGCGTGTCACAGCCACAAAACGGCTCAGAAAGAGTAAAAGCTGGGCACGAAATGGGAAATAAAAGGAAAACGAAAACCATGAAGTTGAGCCCGATGCTTGTTTGGTACAAAGCGAGCACCACGTGGGCAGCGCTGCCAGGAGGGCTTCTCGGGCCGGGCACAACCACACTCTGCTGGAAGACAAGCCAATGGGCACATCTTTCGGTGTCTGGATTGTAAGTGAGAGTGAAGCAATTCAGATTTTTATCCGTGAGCGTTCTGGATCATCCAACCTGCACCGGCCAAGAGACGCAACCCAACAAACCATCACCCACGATCACCAACTGCAACGTTCTGAACAGCAGGTTTGGTCAAACCTGC